CTAATTAAAAAAGATAGTTCTTAAACTTTATAAGAGTTTTGCTATACAAAGAGGTTCAATGACAAATATTTAAACAAATGTACGCTTGGCACATTTTCATTGGTAGTTTAAAAAATAAAAGAAATTGCCAACCAGGGCTGCTATTTGAGCCGTTGAAAATAGTGCATGTCACTGAGGTTGATCAAACAGCTTTTTCCTATAAGGGTTCGTTTGATATTTATAATTTTCCATGAAAATATTTTTTATTTTCCATTTTTTGCCTTGTTTGGTAGGCAAAATTTCCTCAGAAATTGTTTTCCCCCCAACTCCTTTTTCTTGGTTTTCATGGAATTTGTCTTCCCACCACTTTGTGAAAAAATGGTTTTCCACCCTTTTTTTTTTAGCAATTGGAATAATTTCTATCAACAATGGTAAACTTTTTTTTTTCTATTAATGGATAATTTACATACAAAACAAAGCCAAACGAATGGCATTTGATATGATATTTTTTTAAAATTTTTTTTTTTTTTGCAATTGGAACAAATTCTAGACCCAATGGTAGAAAAAATTATCACTTTAATGGATAATTTTCATAAAAAACGAAGTCAAACGGAAACCAGACTTTCAACATTTTCCATGAAAAATTATACAAATCAAACACAATTAATTACACATCCCAGTAAAATAATTTCTAGGAAAATTTTTTCCTTGTAAAACCTTTTCTCCTATTTTCCACCCTTACAATCAAATGCACCATAAATAAATTTTTGTTTTGACTGTGTCTTTTAAATGAACCCCCAACTAAAGTGACAAATTTGCCCAACAGGGGTTAATATTCTAAATAGTCATCGAATTTTGCCAAAAGTTTTCAAGAGGTCATCGAACTTTAAAAGTTCCCTACATAGTCACTGAACTTTGCAATAAGTTCCTAGAAGGTCACTGAACTTCGTTAATACCCTAAATAATCATGAACTTTGCCAAAACTTCCCTAAATAGTTACTCAACTTTGCAAAAAATTTCTAATTGATCAATGAACCATTGATGTATG